CCCCAAAACCCCAAAACCCCAAAACCCCAAAACCCCAAAACCCCAAAACCCCTGAATGAATGGCTAGTATTGAATTATTGACTAAATTGATATTATACATCATAAATTTTAGCATTCGCTCTTGATGCTGCAGATCTAGGTGGGCTCTATAGATATTAGAAGATAATTTACTTGTTCCTGTTGAGGAGCCTGAGGGGGTTGAGAGCTAGAAGAATAACTAGGTCTAGGCTGGTCAGTGTATTGAGAAGAATTAGTCGGAGCATGGAAGCCAAAGAAATCATCAAATCCATCTCTTGCAAAATGGCTTTGAGGTCCTCTTTGCTCAAAATTTGAGTGAGGATGATGGAAAGGACTTCTCATAAAAGGATCCCCCATGAATGGATCTCTATGCTCATGATGTCCATGATATCCTCCTCTACCATCCTCAAATCCTAAATCTTCTGATATCATTCTCTCAAATTCTCTCATCATCGAGAATGGATTGAAAATCCCAAACTCATCTCTCGGACTATTAATTGGGAAATCATTTCTTGAATAATTGTTAGTCGCTACATGATGAGGCTGTGAGGGTTCATGAGCTGGAGGTTCATTTTCCTCTGAGCCTAGCCATCCTTTTCTAAAACATTAAACATTTGTTCCTTACACTCGTCCCCAAATTCCAGGTGTCTCATCATAATTATCATTTTCATAAGGAATCGAATTTCCTCCCCCAAAGAAAGTGCCCCCAAAGCCTCTCATTGGCTTAGTATCTTCACTCTCATCAGTTGTAGTAATCCTCTGACCAGTAGTAGGATCAATTTTTGTTGTCTTCGTAATATGCTTACAAATTTGGTGCCCTGGATTATTTGGATCAGGCTTGCAGACAGTAGAGGAGCTCTTACTACTTCCTCCAAATGCGAAAAATCCAGAAGGGCCTCCTCCACCGCCTCCATCTATACAATTAGGATAAAGCTCATACTGTGATATTTTCTTTCCTGTTCCATTGGCTGTTGCTCTTGCTGTTGTGTTTCATTAGGATCTTCTCTAAATTCCATTTCTTGCCCGTTCATTCTAGAATATGTTCTCTTAATAATAATTATTCAATAAATCAACTATTTTTGGGGTTTTGGGGTTTTGGGGTTTTGGGGTTTTGGGG